AGAGGGGGAAGAAGAAGAAGAAGAAGAGGGGGAAGAAGAAGAAGAAATAATATTTTTTTTGTTACAGTATATTATTATTATTCTTCAATCTATATCAGCATTTATTAGTCATGGCACCCTTTAAAAGTATGCAAAATGTGGAGGCACTTCAATCTAATTCTTTACATCTGGGAAAAAAATCTTTCCATGAAAACATTTGCTAAAATAAATAAATGAATACAAATAAATGTTGTATCTTTCCTGCCTCCAGCTTGCAGCAGATGTACAGCACGCATACGTCAGTGGTGTACACATTCATACGATAATGGTATGCTCAGCATCGATAATAGGCTCTCATTGGCTGCCTCCATTGTGCTGTGCGGAGCGTTCTTGTTGATCCTGCTGCTTGTTTGTACACAGAACAATTATGGGAATGGCTGAAGAGCCCTTTAAGGCGCGTGTTTCTGTGTGCGGCGGCGGCGGTAAATGGCGTTCATGTTTGGGTGTGTGTGTAGGTGTAGACCGGGGAGTTATTGGCTAATGGTTAATGAGAGATGTGGCGGAGTGGGAGACGGGGAGATTAGAGAAAAGCCGGCATGAGTAATCCCTTCCTTCTGCTGCCATTAAATATTACAAGTCCCAAAAAACGCCTGCTGGACCCAGCAGAATCCGAGTACACTTTATACCCCCTGAATACATCCTCATGTCACAGGACGTCATATTTGAAATGAACATTTGAGGGGGATGTACAGTTGTTTTAAAGCCAAACAGATGGAGTTCATACAAGAGAGCTGATTATTATCTGCCAAAGGGAATTTATTTTTGTTCATCCCGTTCTGAGATTTACACAGCTCTGCCACACAGCACAGCCCTGATTTTTGTCTTACAGGTCGCATTTAAAGCCTGCTGTCACTATGCTCTCCTCCTATCAGCATACTCTTTGCCCTGTAGCACAGATGATTGGCTCCTTTTGGTGCTTCTCCCTCTCCCGGTCTGAGTTCTGCTGTACAGGGACTGAAAATGGCTGATAAAAGGTTAAAAATCAGGTACTTACACTATAGGTGAAATTGCAGCCAGGCTGACAGGGCTGTGTTGTATGGCAGAGCTATGTAAATCTCAGGACTGGATGGACAGGAACACACATCCTTTGGCAGATAAACTCGCTCCCATGTCTGCATTCCATCTCTAGTAACGAATCTCCGAGCGCCCGGATGGTCTGTGCGCGGTCCACAGTTCTGCATTACCGCCTGTTTCCAGACGCTTGTATCGTTTCATGGGTTGAAGAGACGAGATGGACTAGTGTGAGTTCTTTTCAGATATTGTTCTGGGCAGAGAAGAGGAATAGGAAGGGAGAGTGATAAAGTGAGCGGGGCAGGAGAGGGGACGGGGGAGGGGGGGGAGAATATAGGGGCGAAGCAGAGGAGAGGAATAGGAAGGGAG